CAGAGATGGTACCTCTGAAGCTTCTTGGTAAAGTGTCCATGAGAAGGAGTTTCCCCTTTCAGTAAAATAATACCTAGCAAAAATCTTCCATGTTACAATTTACATCCACTCACTTATCTCAAAGCATCTTCCCTGAAACGACTCTCAGGTGTATTTTATTCTCTTTGAGGCCATGGTGGGGTCGGGTGGGAGGAAGCAAAACAGCTGGGTACATGGACTAGGTTCTAATAAGATGAGGTTTACTCCACAGAGGTTCTGTGCTAGTCTAAGAGGACAGATCTCAGGACAATAATAACAGTGATAGCCAGTACTCATTGTGCCCTGGTGACTTACTCTGGTACTATACATAAATTAGCTCACAGAACTACATGATAACTCTAAGACATGGCTACTATAATTATCCCCATTTTCATAAATGCAAAAACTGACATGTAAAGATGCTGGCTCATTTGTGTAAGAAATCAGGGTTCCCTCAGCAACCACAGCATCTCATGCTATGCCCTCTTGAGTGGTTCTCCAAGAACCCAAGAGTTTTTCAGCCACTAGCAGCTGTCAGGGTAGCAAACCAGAAGGAGGAGCAGCAGCAAGTCCTGGCTGCTTGGGTCAAACCTCAGAATCTGGAGACCAGAGATTTGGGAAGGCCTTGTTATGAATAAACCAGGCTATTTATGGAATTCCACTTGAAGTTCCTGGATGTTTTCAAGGGAAAATGGAGAATCACGGCTTTCACTTTTAAATTAATGTATTTATAATCAGTGAATTTCTGTACAATCTTCTGTCCTGCTTGGCCACTCTTAGATCCCACCCACTCTAACAACCATGTAAACACTCTCGAGCTGAGCAGACTACTGGGGATGAACATCATCCAGCAATCTTTTACACGGTGGAAATTTAGAGGCGTGTGGCAGGAGAGAGAAGAGCAGTCAAGAATTTCCACATATTTAAGGTCAGGCCTGAAGGAGAGGCTTTTCCTGGTGGTGTTTCTCTGATGGAGGGCAAGGTCCTCTGTGCTGGCCTGTCATAGAATTCTGAGGCAATAGATGAGACAACTTTGGCTGTCCCATTTGGATCTGTCAGCTCTAGCTCTTACTGACTTATTCTTTAGAGCCAGGAATGTATAAACACTAAAGACTTCAGCAGAGGGGCACTGCACAAGCCATCTTCATTGCCTGAAGCAAAACCTTCCAGATAAGCATTCAGGGAGAAACAATACAAAAACCATAAAGCCAGTTTTCTCCAGTCTTTGGGCACTTGGTCTCTTCCAAAGAAAATAAAAGTACTATTTCTAGGGTCTCCTTGGTAAGATGCTCCCCCTTCCCTGCTCCAAAAGGGTCATAAGCTGGTCAGGCCTGACCTAGAGTCTTCAATTGTGTGAACTGACTCACAAAGTAAGAATTACCCAATGTCTGTTAAAAACAGATATTCCTAGCCTCCATCTCAAATCCACTATATCTGCTACTCCAGGGAGGGCCCAGGAATCATCTTTTTACTAAGTGTACCATGTGGAGTTTTCATCAGAAAAATTTTGAGTGTTGGACCTCAAAGTGGGGTTTCTAGATCATAGTATCACTGGAATATTTTATTTATTTATTTTTATTTTAAAATATATTTTATTGATTTTTTTATAGAGAAGAGAGAGAGGAATAGAGAATTAGATACATCGATGAGAGAGAATCATCAATCAGCTGCCTCTTGCACACCCCCTACTGGGGATGTGCCCGCAACCAAGGTACATGCCCTTGACGGGAACCGAACCCAGGACCTTTCAGTTCGGAGGCCGACGCTCTATCCATTGAGCCAAACAGGTTTTGGCTACATCACTGGAATCTTTTAGAAATAGGTATCTTGGGTTCTGCCCATACTGACTAGATCAGAAACTGCCCAGCAGTGTGTGCTTTAATAAGTCCTTGTAGCAATTCTGATGCAGGCAATTTTTGATGAGCACTTTTCTGTGGCAAGTGGTTTTGAGCCAAACCCAATTTCTGGCAGGTAAACTACTTAAGGAAATGAATGGAAGAAGTCCAGCCTATCCTTCCTGTGAAGAGCACCTATATTGTGTGTGGAGATAAGGAGAGCAGTAATAGTAACTGTTGCCAGTGAGACACTGTCAGTTGCTTTATTTGATTTAATCCTCATAACAAACCCATGAAGTGCAGTGTGCTTTGTAGTTGAGGAAACTGAGGCACGGAAAGACAAAGTAACTTGCCTACAACTAGTAGAGGTAGGATTAAGTTGTGATTTGACTACAAAGTCATGTTCTGAAACATCATACTGTACTGGCCTCCCATAGTAGACATTTAAAGTTCTTTAAACTTGTCAAAAGTGAGTTTCTGGCCCTGAACAGTGTGCTTAGTGATTAGTGTTGGCCTTGTGCAACAAAGGGTTGTGGGTTCGATTCCCAGTCAAGGGCATGTACCTGGGTTGCAGGTTTGATTCTCAGCCCTGGTTGGGGTGTATACAGGAGGCAACCAACTGATGTGTCTCTTTCACATAGATGTTTCTCTCTTTCTCTTCTCTCTCCTCCCTCCCTCCCTTCCTCCCTTCCTCCCTCCCTCCCTCCCTCCCTCCCTCCCTCCCTCCCTCCCTCCTTCCTCCCAGTCTCTTAAAAAAAAAAATGGAAAAAAATATTCTCAGGTAAGGATTAACAAAAACAAACAAACAAACAAACAAAAAAAGCGAATTTCTGGATTGGACTGTTTAATTCCTTAAAATTCTGTTATTTCTCATTTTTAAGACCAACACCTCATCAAGGAAGGACTGAGGGCTGAAAACGCACTTAACTGCTTGGTGCTACAGGGAAAAATGGAACAAAAATGTGCCATTGCTGGGGATGCACTCCTTGTACCTCACAACTTTCCTGTGGGAAACAAGGCCAATTCTCCTGCTCCTTCCTCAGAGCATTTCCCCTTTAAGAGACCATGTTTTATTTTGTATGCAGCTAATGCTAGTTGTTTCTTTCATTTTTTAAAACTCTAATTAATATAAAGGTATTTATTGTACTGTTTGATGCTGATATCTATTCTACCCATCCAATCACACCCTGCTGTAGAGGTATGACTTAGCCTTCCTGGAATTTCCCGTTTATAAATGACAGCAGAGAACAAGTTATTCCTGTAGAAAAGTGATCTGGCCCATACCTGAGGCCATGCCACCAGCTCTGCTTTGACTGTGAGTGAGAACTCTTCCTCATGGATGCAGCAGAGAGTGGTATGTCTCTATGGGCAGGGATGCATGACAACAATATGCATGATGGCTGTGGAAATGCAGGTACCAAAGGGGAGGCTGCCCCAGAATGCATGGAAGAGTTATTGGTGAGGCCAGCCCCAAAGGCAGTTCATACACAGCATGTCTGGCACCAGAGATAAGGTGCTGGAGTGCAGCTGAAAAGAGCTCTGCCAGCAAACAGCTTAGTGAAAACATTGGTTGAACTTGAGGGGAAAAAAAGCTATTTTCTTTATCCCCATATGTTCCCTTTCTCATGGCCACAAAGAAGTGTGTGTCCATCAGTCTGGGGCCATGGGAAGTGGTCCCACTGTGGCAGCTCTGCAGGAGAGTCTGGCCAATACCAATATTATTCATCTTTTTAAAAAAATGTTATCTTGTTTACATTATTTTTTTAATGCTTGTTTCTCTTTTATATGTTTTATATTTGTTTCTCTAGCTCCTTGATAATCTTTTATTAAGCACTTTGAATCCTTCTGTACTGACACTGTCAGGCCTGGGCAGGTATTGAGAACAAAGCCCTTGGGTACAGACAGCAAACACAGGGGTGTGGTAGAGTTTGGAGCATGCATGTTCACCAAAGACATCACTCAGTTAGACATAATGAAAACACTGGGACTGCCAAGAATAAAGCCACTGGTTGCTGTGTGGCTCCTGGGACACAAATATTCTGCTCCTCTCTTTATATATAGGGGAAAGAATAAAGCCCAGAGTGGTGAGGCAGCTTTCACAAAATAGCACAGTGAGATGGTGGCTAAGTTGTAACAGAAGCCAGCTATTCCACTCCTGGTGCTCCTTCCACGGAACCACCAGGTCCCAATTTCACACTGATTCAGGTCTACTGTTGTTCCTGTGTGGAATTCTTTTCCCTCCACTATATTTGTAAACAATAACCAGAGGGAAGCATCTGTGTCTGTCACTATTTTTTCTGTTACTTTTCAATGAATAACAAAACGTAACTTGATAGGTGTTCAATAAATACTTACTGAATCTCTGTATTAAGTCATATGGATTGTGATCTTTACTGGTTAACCTAAATGGAATAGGGGAGGAGGAATCAGCAGGCAGTAGGGAAACCAAGAAGAATCTTGAACCCAGAAAACATGAGTTTGAATCTTAGTCAATCCTTAATCCTTATCACAGTCACCAGTACTACTTTACCTATATAGTGAAAAGATATATTTTCTTTACAGGATTCCTGAGAGGATGACCAAGTGAGGTGATGGAGACAGAAGTCCCTTGTAAATGGTCCAGCATTATGCAAAGTAATAAAGACAGTGCTTACATGTGCCTGAGCACAAGCAGACCTTGAATAGATATTGTGGGTTCAGTTCAAGGTGACTGAATTAAAGCAAGAATCACAATAAAGTGAGCCATAATCTTTGTGTTGGTGGAGGGCCTTGTCTTCAATTTGTGAAAAAATACAACTTCTGTGAAGCACAATAAAGCAAAGTGTAATAAACGAGATGTGCTTATACTGTTTTAAATACTTTATATACATTTTAAGCCTCACACCAAATCTGTGAGGAAGGGGCTAGTATTGCCCTTGTTTCACAGATGAGAAAACAGAAGCACACATAGGTGACATAACTTGACTAGTGTCAAACAGCTGCTGGGTGGCACAGACAAGATTCAAACCCAGGCAGTCTGGTTCAGATCCCATGCTGTTGGCAGGTGCTATGCTGCTTTCCCCAAGTCAAGGGAAGAGGCTGCTGGGAAAGCTACTGGTACGAGGCACATACAGGAAAACCAGGTGTCAGCTCCCAGCCCAGGCTGACCTGCTGGCCACGTCCTCCTCCAGGCCCTTGTCTAGCACACTGCTCAGGTTGTGCTCAGCTTGTGTCTCCTCAGGCACTTCCTGCAGCGCCTCTGCCTGCTTCACAGACAGGCGGTAGTTCTCTAGCTCAATCCTTTCAGGAGTGCCCCTCAGTCTCTTGGCAATGCTGGGCTCCTCCAGGCCATTCACACTTGTATCTGCAAAATAAGCAAAAAACAAAGTTCTATGACAAACTATAGGAACTGAATCCATGCTGTGTGAACAATGGAGGTGCAGGGAGGGAGAAGGCATTGATAGAAGGGCTATTTAAGCACCCAAGGCAGCAGCTGCTCATTTCAGTGAAAGGAGGGACAGTGCCCCTCCCCCATGCAAGTCAGGAGCCAGAGGAGTCAACAAGGTCACGGATTTGATGGAGGCCAGGTGAGGACACTGGTCTGAGAGTGGCAAAACTTCACTAAATATGAGAAGTAACAAGACTGCACTTAAGGGGAGAGCCACTGGCTCTCCTGTATCATCTTGGGGTGGTGGTGACAGAAACTTGAGATGAACCTTGAAGAAGCTCTAAAGCACCTTTTACTGAAAAAGTTGGGTTCTTCCAGTGGCCCCGCCCTTGATGTAGGATCTAATCAAGATTCCCGCACTATATCTGGCTGGTTCACTGATGTGCCTAGGCTGCTTGTTTTGCTAAACATCTCCTACAGTAGATTTGTCTGTCTCCCCATGATTAGATTCACAGTGAACACTTGTTTAACAAGAATAACGTGCTGGTGATGCTGTGCCTCTCTCACTGCATCTGGTCAAACTGGTCAGGATAGATACAGTGAGGCTGCCTCTCTCCTGGTGACACTGGCTCAACAATGCTTGCTTAATGTGGTGCCACTCATTTCTGTGTTGTAAAGAGATACATTCCCCTTTGCAATTCATAAGTAATCTGAGCGGTGACATGTAGAAACAAGGAACTATCCTGCTTCCATCATCCTTTCATCCACTGGCGTTAATATCCATTGGTGATTTTTGCCTGGTGATTTAAAATATTCTAACATTCCTTCTCCACTAGCATTTTTTTAAAAAAATCAATCTTTATTGTTCATATTATTACAAAGGTTCCTCATTTCTTCCCCCCTCCACCAGGTTCCCACCCCACCCTCCGCCCCCTCCCCAACCCCATTGTCCTCATCCATAGGTACAGTTTATGTTCAGTCTCTTCTTCCCTCCCTTTCCCCAATAGTAAATCCCTTTTCAGATAGTAAATCAGTTACTTAGCATTTTCTCAAATCAATAATATCTCCACATGCCCAATGATACACTTCACACAAAAGACATTTCCCAATAGGTCCACCAGCCTCATCCAGGCCCCACCCAAGGCACTCACAGATCAACACTCCAGCCCTACACAAACTCAACACATCCAGATCTAAGCCTTCATCACTTGATTCAGCAGACCCTCAAGTTCCCACGAAAGTTTCCAGCCATGTCTGAGAAGCAGCCGTGGGGCAGGGGCAGGCGAGGAGCGAGCTGTTCCGGGCCTGGCTGCTCAGGGCCTGGCCTCTGTTGCTCTGGTTCGTTCCACAACCAGCTGCTCTGGGTCTGGTCACTGCTGCTCCCGACCTAGTTGCTCTGGACTTGGCTGCTGCTGCTCCGGGCCTGGCCGCTCCCAGCCCGGCAGCCACTGCTCCGGGCCTGGCCGCACCCGACCCGCCTGCTCCCCCCGGCCTGGCCGCTCCCAGCCCGGCAGCCGCTGCTCTGGGCCTGGCAGCACCCGACCCGCCTGCTCCCCCGGGCCTGGCCGCTCCCAGCCCGGCAGCCGCTGCTCCGGGCCTGGCCGCACCCGACCCGCCTGCTCCCCCGGGCCTGGCCGCTCCCAGCCCGGCAGCCGCTGCTCAGGGCCTGGCCGCACCCGACCCGCCTGCTCCCCCGGGCCTGGCCGCTCCCAGCCTGGCAGCCGCTGCTCCGGGCCTGGCCGCACCTGACCCGGCTGCTCTGGGCACGGCTGCCCCGGGCCTGGCCGCTCCGAGCCTGGGCACTCCCAGCCTGGATGCTCTGGGCTTGGCTACTGCTGTTCTGGGTCTGGCTGCTCCCACCCCGGCTGCTCTGGGCCTGGCTTCTCCGGGCCCGGCCACTCCGGGTCTGGTTGTTTCTGGACTGGCCACCCTGGGCTTGGCCGCCTCCGCCTCAGGCCTGGCTGCCACTGCCCCAGGTCTGGCTGCTCCAGTCCTGGCTGTTGATGCTCTTGTTCTGGCTGCTGCTGCTCTGGGGCCTGGCTGCCACTGCCTTGTGCCTGGCCGCCGCAGTTCCAACATTCTGTCCTTTTTTTTTTTCTTTTTTTTTCTTTTTTTTAAAACGCATTTATGTTGCAATGTTGGCTGGTGAGTTGAGTTCTGACTTAGTCTTTGATTTTTCAAGAACTTCTTTGTATTCTTTCTTAAGTAATTTTACTATCTTTTGCTCTCACTTGATTTCTTCACATTGAGAACTTCTTTGGTTTCTTCCTCCTTGTCCTGGGAGCTCAGCAGGATGGCCTGTGGCACCCCTTTGTTCTCCGTGGGCTCCTGCTCTGCTTCAGCCTGTAGCTGGGGACGGCGCCGCCCAGGAAGCAGCCCCCGGCCTTGCCTCCATTGTCTGCGCTCAGCGGTGGAAGGCTCAGGGGCACCCCCCTCCCCCAGGGGCCCTGTTGCCTGGCTCCTTGCTGGTTCCCGGTTGGCCAGCGTCCCGTCCCGGCAGGGGCTCCTGCTCCCCGCCGCGTTCCCCCAGCCCGCAGCTTTTTTTTCTCCTTCCCGCTAGGGGAGTCCAGCATCAGAGTCAACAGACTGTCCTCTGCGCGCAGTGTATGCGCAAATCCTGGGGCCCGGCCTTTCGCCGCTCTCCCCAGACTCCACCTCACAGCCCCGTCTCCTTCTGCCTGAGTCTGGGTCCCCAGATATTGACCCAGAACTGGGGTTCGGAGCAGTCCGGACTGAGGCTCAGCGCCGCCGGAGGCCTTGTTTCTTCTGGCTAGGGTAACCCAGCATCAGAGTCAACATTCAGTCCTCTGCTTGCGCATTGCGCGCGACTCCAGGGGCCCTGCTTTTCACTGCTTTTCTGCCTCACAGCCCCATCTCCCCCTGTGGGATCCTGGGTCCCCAGGGTCTGGCCCATAACTGGGGCTCAGCGCTGCCGGTTCGGGGGGCTCAGCGCTGCTGGTTCGGGGGTTCAGCCCAGGCTGGGGGTTTTATTTCCTTCCTGCTAGGGAAGGAAAGGCAGCACCCCGCCCTCTCCTCCTCTCTGGCTGTGACTTCTACGCGCGTGTGCGTGAGCGCAGCATCAGCATTTTTTTTTTTTTTAATAAAGAACTTTTCCCATTTCTTTTTATTATTTTGAGTACCACTATGATCTCACATCTGAATTCTTAAATGTTGTATCTATTATTGCCACTTAGTTTCCGCCAATCTAGAACAGTTTCTATCTCCCTTACACTATCACTAGGTTTTGATGCACCTCATTAACCCAAATTAAAAAAAAATCTTTATTTTTTTTTAATCCTCATCTGAAAGCATTTTTCCATTGTTTTTTTAGAGAGAGGAAAAGACAGAAAGAAATATGAATGTGAGAGAAATACATCAATTGATCACCTTCTGCATGGGCCCTGATCAGGGCCTAGGCTGGGAAAGGGCTGGTAGGAGCCTGCAAATGAGGTATTTTCTCTTGACCAGAATTGAAACCAGGACCTTTGGTCCACAGGCCGATGCTCATCCACTGAGGCACACTGGCTAGGGCAAAAATGAGTTATTCTTTAATTTGCTCACTATAATATGATGTAGCACATAGATTTAGGGTCAGACAAATCCAGGCTAGACACCTGACTCCACCAGTTGGAGGATCTTAAGAAAATTATGTAACAAACTAAGAACACATTTCCTAATGTATAATAAGGATGGTGTCATCTCCCAGGATTATTATGAACATGGAATGAAATTATATACATATAAACATGTATGTGTGTGTGCTCTATACATATTATCTTCCTCTTCTACATGGGCAGTATTCAGCAAGTATGAGTTAAGTGCTGGATCCAATGTTCTATTGGACATTTTCACCACCAATTTGTAGGAATTCTTAAATAGGTATGTTGTATTCATTTGTTCTGAATTGCAAACAGTTACTTGACAAAGAAAGATGGGAAGAGAGTTCTGGGAAGAGGCAGCAATATCAGATAAGGTATGGCAACAGAGAAAGACAGTTTGGCATAATTAGACCTTCAATGGCAGTGAATCTGAAGCAGGAGAGAAGATACAGAAATGGAGGTGGGAGCAGATGATGAATGGCTTTGCATCCTAAACAGGGCAAGTCCCTGACTTCTAACACATTCTGAGCTCTAAAAAATAATACTGGATTTTGGCAGGCAACAACATTGTCAGGTGATTGGTGGTCTAACAGGCAAAACAAAGAACCTCTGTACTGAAGAACTAAAGGAAAGAGGGGGGAAGAGATGCAAATCAAAACAACAATGCGGTACCATCTCACACCTGTCAGAATGGCCAACATCAACAAATCAACAAACAACCAGTGTTGGCGAGGTTTCAGAGAAAAAGGAACCTTCGTGCACTGCTGGTGGGAATGCAGACTGGTGCAACCACTGTGGAGAACAGTGTGGAGTTTCCTCAAAAAACTGAAAATGGAACTCCCATTTGACCCAGTAATCCCACTCCTAGCAATATATCCAAAGAAGCTAGAAACACCAATCAGAAAGGATATATATATGCACCCCTATGTTCATAGCAGCACAATTTACAATACCTAGGATTTGGAAACAGCCTAGGTGCCCATCAGCAGATGATTGGATCCAAAAACTATGGTACATCTACACAATGGAATACTATGCTGCCATAAAAAAGAAAAATTCTCACCATTTGCAGCAACCTGGATGGAATTGGAGAACATCATGCTGAGTGAAATCAGCCAGTCAATGAAAGAGAAACACCACATGACCTCACTGATTTATGGATGATAAAGAACATTATAAACTGAAGAACCAAAAGATAGATATAGAGACAGTCAAGCAACAAGCAGACTGTCAAATTACAGCGGGGAGGGGAGGGAGATCTGGGGGAGATAAGAGATCAACCGAAGGACTTATATACATGCATATAAGTACAACCAATGGACACAAAACTCTGGGGAGGGAGGGCATGTATGGGAGGGAAGGACAATGGTATATGTA